GTTTGTGTTTATTACATTTAAGCATACCAAATTACCATTTCTATACCATAATTTAAATTAGGGTTATAATTAAGGGTTCATTTATATTAGTCATAATTATAGGACTATCTTCCCACTTTCTCTTTCCTTTCATCTCAACTGTTCACAACACACACAACACATTTATACTAATTGTATATCCATTTGTTCCCATATAATAAATGNCAATTTGACTACAAAATATCTACAAATTCTGGAAATATGTTTTGCAAGAATGACCACACCACACATGTCGTTTATTTTAGAAAGATTCTGAAGGCTACGTATGCCAAACTGCTTTAATAGGTGGTTGGGGGGGGGACCCCTCCAATCACCAATTGTTGAGCCAAGCAAATTAAGACGCTTTCTTAATACCAGAAGCTATTTTTTGTTTGTGCTCTTTCTTTGTGACTTTGCCCCCCAACCATACAGCTACACCTTATTACGCATGTCTTGACTACTTTTATATATGGATCTTTTTATCCGTCATGATTTTGGGTGAAATCCCTAAAGCTTATGTTTTTTAAATTCATTTGATTGAAATGTCATCTTTTAAGCTTAGAGGGTCAAATAGGCGAGTTGTATTTAATCTAAACAATTTGTAGAAGTTTTTAGTCTTCCCAATCTACAATTCATCTACAATTTATCTACAATTTATCTACAATTTAACTACAATTTATCTACAATTTCTGGAAATACGCCTTCTTCTTCTTCTTCTTCTTCTTCTTCTTCTTCTTCTTCTTCTTCTTCTTCTTCTTCTTCTTCTTCTTCTTCTTCTTCTTCTTCTTCTTCTTCTTGTTTCAATCTAAAATTCAGTCAAAACCAAGTCTAATCTTCACCAAAACCCCTCAAAATTGAGATATAAACTCCTAAACATATTCCGAATTATTTACAACAACACCCAATCCAAACAAATAATGATTTTTGAAAACCCAAATTTGAATTCAAAGCTTTTAAGCTTTTTAATGGCTATCAATGGTGGAAAATATATGGAAGAACAGATGAAGATGAAGATGAAGAACAGAAATCTCCTTTTCGTTTGAATACTGGAGCTTCAGTAGCTTGTGTTTTTTGAGAATTGTAGTTGAGTGAGAGAAGAGAGATCTCTTTCTGTTGAGGAAAGAGAGAATTACGCAACAATTCTAATTTGATGTTGACAGAATCACACGCAGATCTGGTGCCTTCATTTTAGCGCATTTTTTATGGCAAAATCTACCTATTTTTGGATTGGTATATAATTTGTAGTAAAAGTGTGGACTACACGGGTAAATAACAAATTATGAACATTTTTGGTAATAAAGTTTGATATATGGTATAGATAGGTAAAAATCCCATGAAAAAATGGATAAATTATCCGGCCCGAGCCATATTTAATACGGATAAAAAACGGGTTAACCGGCGGATAATATGGGTAATCATATTATCCATGACTTCTTGCATATGATCACTTTTGGAGGAATTCTTAGTCTCCCTAACTTGAGGAACCTAATTTGAGGTTTTACAAATGTAAAAGTTAGACCCATTGATTATCCATTTTTTAAATGGATAATATGGTTCTGGTCCATATTTGACCCGTTTTCTAAAAGTTTATTATTTAACCTATTTTTGAGTGGATAATATGGGTAGTTAACTGTTTTCTTTGAACCATTTTGCCACCACGAGCACGAAGTAACAAAAATGGATTGTTGTTAATAGAGTTCAATGTGTCACACTCCAATAATGTATCTTTACGATCAGAAAATGTGATTCTGATGATATTTTTTTTAAGAAGGTGGGTATGGCTGATTTAACATGCTGTCTCCACGTCTAGTAGACTGAGTGATGTTTCATGATAAAAAAGATAAGAAGAAAAAGATGGAAAAGTTGGAGTTGGAGGCACATATATTTGTTATGTTAAAAGAGTCCATATATAAAGACGAAATTTGAAATTAACCTACTAGGTGAAGTATCAGCTTTTGCCATATATTACAAGCGCTCTTCTTCCTCCTCCTTCATGTTCATGCTGAACACATTAGGGGTGGGCATATATCCGGTAAAACCGATAACCCGAACCGTTAATTTTTTATTGGGTTATTAGTATTGGGTTATTGGGTTAACGGTTCGGTAACGGGTTAATTTTTTTTTATTGGGTTATCGATTCGGGCTCGGTTTGCATTTTTGTTATTGGGTAAAAACCGATAACCCAATAAGAATGATGTAATTTACTAATTTACCCTTAAGTATATACTAGGGTTATTTATTTTCCTAATTCTCTCTTCACTCTTCAGTCTTCAGTCGTTTGTCTCTCAGTTCTCATTCTTGTTTCCGTCGCAGCCCCCAAGAGTCAAGACGCAAGACTCACCACCAGTTCTCCGCCAGACATCAGTAGATACTGCACAGAAGTGGTAGCGTGCTTTTGTTAAGAAACAACAAAAGTTGGCAGTTTACACGTTCTGGCAGTTTGATTTCTTTGTTTTATATATTGCAAATTTTTTTAGTTGTTTTATCTTATCGGGTAAATCGATAATCGAACCGATAACGATATATAACTGATTAACCGATAACCGATAACCAATATCTTATCGGTTTGGTTATCGGGTTATGATATTTGTAAATCGATAACCGATAGGCAAAACCGATAATGTTCAAAACCAAACCGAACCGACCGATGTCCACCCCTAGAACACATTAGTCATACCTTTGTATGCAGCATCAGCTTGCATTCTAGCAAGAATACAAGTTAAGAGTAAAAAGAAGGGCATATCACATGATAAATAAAGTAGAAAGCTAAAACCATCCAAATAGATGATTTATGAGCAAACTTCAAACCACGTCAGTAAGGTTGAATTCGCACCACGAACTTTCCACAATTGTTTAAAGTTGTAGTATAAGAAATTGAACTACCTATAGGATATTTTATGCGTAAGGTTGAATCTACACAAGTTTAATTTGTAACTTTATACGATGGTATAAATCTGCAGAAGAAACCTTTTATGAGCAAATTAACACATGACCGGTCTAAAGTTGCCTGGAAGATTGAATTCACATACTTGTCCACCTCCAAGGCGGTACTTCCCATTCTTCCGATTATTTGCAAAATTGTTAAAACAGGAACACGATCTAAACAATGGCCTCAAAAGGGGCTAATATGAGAAAATCAGCCGATATTGGTAGGAGAGCAAGTCCACATTGAATGCACCAAACATAATTTTGGGAAAACTATATTGTATTGCGGCTTCTAAAAATACTAATAGCTAGTGAAATATATATTTTTTGTATATTGACGTATAATACATTTATTTTATACATATTTGGCAAAATTAATTTATATATTTGACTAGAGAATGCAATAATTTTTGGTGGACCGGCCAAATAAAGGAATTTTTACCTAGCTATACTATATTAAAAAATTATTTACCTATGTTCTCTATGTTCTACAGTTTTTAATAAGTATATATCTAGGTTTTTCTTACAAATTGTATACAATGCTCCTTGAAAGACTCCCCAATATTAGTACCTACAATTAATGGATTCAATTACATCCTTTCCTTTTTTCCCCTCTTCATCTCTCTCCTTTTTTTTTTTACATCAAAATCCTTTAATCTACGGCCAGAATCTCCATCTTCTTTCTTCCCACCATTACCGACAACTTTATATTATTAAAAAATATAATTGTCTTTGAATTGTATCAGATACATCAATGCCTAAAATATAATTGTATCATACTTGTATCACAATTGTATCTAACTTGTATCTGGTACATTAATACCCAAAATAATATATGGTACGATACTAATAAATTAATATATAATTATCATACTTGTGATACAAATTGTGAAATTTGGCACGAACTCACAACTGCTCGTAACAATATATAATAAATATACAATTATCATACATTTCTAATATAATTTCTGCAACAATTATGATACATATACAATTATAATACAATCACGATATATTTCTGAAAAATTGTGATACAATTATGATTTCCACCTTCTTCAAGTTTCAATCACAACTCTACACTAAAAATTTAATATAATTGTATTAGTATTGTATCGAGTATTGTTTTGGATATTGATGTATCATATACAAGTCACATACAATAAAAAATTTAGAAATAAAGAAAACAAGATTCAAAACTTACCCACAATTTGATTCTAGAGCAATATTCCGAATTTTGTATGCATTGTATCAATAAGAAATAAAGATTTTGGGTGATTAGTAAGAAAGAGAGAAATTGAGTTTGAAAATGTTTGGAAAAGGGAAAGAATTAGAAATTTTGAAGGGGGAGAGTATAAAAATAAAAGAGAGATTTTAGGTGATTATTAAGAAAGAGAGGAAAAAGAAACAGAATCTTAAATGTACGGAGGTTATTGAAAATGGGGAGTGAGTGAGGAATCTTGAATTTTTTTTTTTAATGATTTTGTATATAACTTATAAATATGAATATGCAAAGTAATTAATAAAGAGCATGTAATTAATAAAGAGCCTAAATAAAAGTGATAAATGTGTTTTTATTATAGTACAGCTATTTCCAAACCCTCTTCCTTCCCACCTCTTTCCTTTCTCTGTCGCCATGTCAACTAACTTTTAACTTCCCTTTCACTCCACATTTCTTCTCCCCCCCAATTCACCATCTCCTCATATTTCCTCCTCTCTTTTCCCCATTTCTTTAAACCCTAAATTAATCTCCATCAAAATCCTTCTCTTCTCCGATCAGTAATTCTCCAAACATGCATAACAACGACGTTAACTCTTCCTATTTCCAATATTACCAACCTCTTATTCCTAGCTCTACTCCGTCCGATCATCCGTACAATCCTGCCGCCGTTCCCGTCCAGTACGCTTCAGCTCCTCCGGTGCCGTCCGACTACTCCTCTGCCTATTCTCACGGCTCCGCCGATCATCGCCCAACTGCAAACCCTATCACCCAATCGTCAACTCAACACCAATCTTACAATTATTACCCTTATGATCAAAATCAAGCGTCTCTCAGTTACGATTATAGTACACCTAATTACAGTTCATCATATTCGTCTGCTCCTCATTCAATCGAAAATAATGGCTCATACGGAGAACAAGGTTTTTATGATTCTGGTGTTTATAAATATAATGGTAGGAACGAGGAATCTTACAGGGAAAGTCGATCCGAGTCGAATATGGGGGTGATGTTTGATGATTATGGTAGGCCTATCAATATTCAAAATGGGAGGGAGAATCAAGGACACGCGAGTAGTCGTCAAGTTGTGAAAGCAACTCCGAAGATGGAGGAGCAACAGGATGTTGCAGCTGGTGTGTTGAAGTTTCGCGTCAAGCTTTTATCAGAAGGCGTAGGTCAGAGCGACATGGATGTGCTTTGTCAGGTTAGAATGTAGCATTATTGGTCTTTGCAGATATTTCATGAGCTTCAAAAGGGGAAATAATTGCATTTTGAAGTATTAATTTGGCATGCTTTAATCAGAGTCGGCTATATGGATCCTCTGTATCTAGTATTTAGGAACTCATTATAATTTAACTATTTTTATGCTGACTACAGAGGTTGAGTCCAGAATTTAATGCTTATAGGTTTCTACAACGACCTCAAATTAATATAATAATAAATGACTTCATAGTCAATTATTTATAGATATTTAGTGGATTTCTTAATACATACATTGTGCTTGGCAAAAGCTACTGGGTTCCATGAACCCATAGATAATATTGTAGATCCCCCTCTGGCTGACTATTAGCTTACTCCCTATTTTTTGGGACTGGCTATGCTTGGCCTGCTTATCACTGTTAGTTTATTTATTAACCATTTCGTTAATTACATTTTCTAAGTTTCGCATTGAAATTCACATTCAGATTGGTCTAGATGGGATTCACATACTTGATCCTACTATGAGCCGAACTCTGAGAATATATTTATTTGAGAATGTGACAAAATGGGAGGTAAGTTTGTCATTTTGATTGTATTAGTTCCGGTATATGTTATTTCATTTGCATACAAGATGCTTGTGGAATAAGTTCATTTATTATCCTTTCTCTGTCAGGTATTGGATTCATGTATATTTGCATTTTGGGCCAAAAGCTCTGTTGACGTGGAACCTAGACGTATCAGGCTGAAATCAAATAGCTATACAGTGAACAATATCCTTGACACTGTTACAGCAGCAAGTATTCAGGTTAAGAGATCTCTTCACTCTTCAAAATTGATTTGTTCGTATCGATAAATGTCTTTGTTGAGATAGCTGCATATAATTTTAAGCCCTAGAGCTGTGGAATGTGTCGAGTTACACAAGTTGTAGTCTTCTTTATCTGGCTTACAACAACAAACAACAGCGACCCAGTATAATCCCACTAGTGGGGTCTGGGGAGGGTAGTATGTACGCAGACCTTACCTCTACCCCGATGGGGTTTTCTTTATCTGGCGTAACATCCTTTTTTCGTTTGACGTAAAAATAATCTGAGTAAGGGATATCTGACCTGTTTACTTACTGGTGTTAGAATTTATATATTTTTCTCAGGGCGTGTAGTTCATGCTAAACTAAAACCGAAATTCATAGGCATATTGGTGATTTTTTCCCACTCTATGACTCTGGAGAAAGATAACACGTGTCTATCCAATAAGTGAGGAATTTACAAACTTCCTTTAGTTTCTTTTTCCCATCATGGAAGATGTATAGTATTAGGGGTTATCAGTCATTTCTGCTACAGGAAGTCTTAATTCATTTCTGCTACAGGAAGTCTTAGTTCAGATCAGTGGCATTGGAAAGAGCCATCACTAATTTTTTGTTTTTTTTTTTGTTTTTGTTTTTGTTTTTTTAAGGGTGTAGAAATTGTACTTTTCATGTTATATTGGGTTGGTCCTGCACGTCGAATGGATTAATATGGAGGTTATGATTTTTAGCGGGTTTGGTTAGTTATATTAGGTTTTATCATGTATTCACACAACAGTAGACTGAAGACCTCTAGTTGCATTGGTTGGTCCTTCTAAGAATGCTTAATTATTTTATTCGGTTATTATTTAACTGTGTATGGCTGCCACTGTAAGGAACTATGAGCTCAATGGATCAATTATTCTCCCTATTTCCTCCATATCAAGTTTAGTTGGTGTTTCTGCTCTTCTCCGGATACTTTTCACTTAAACTATACTATACAACTGAAATTGGATTTTATCATCATTTCCTTGCTTTCAACAAGATATCTAGGTACAATGCTCCTCTAGATACTCGACTAGTCATAACCATGTACACATGCTTTTATTATGGAATTCAGATTAAGGAGATGGGTGAGAATGATAAACCTTCAGATTCAATCAAGGGATCTGAGCAAGCTGCTGAGAAGAAGAAAGGCTTTGTTGACTTGATGAAGTTGATGAGGCCACTCAATGAAGAGAAAGATTTCTGGGTTAGATTTATGATCATCTGTTGCATTAATTTAGTGGTCGTGATTTTCATCTTTTTTCTGTTGAATCAACTACTGCAAGTAACTCTTAACAAATTCTTGGCTTTGTTTTGCCTAATAATTCTCTACAGGTTCCTGATGAAGCAGTTCGCAAGTGCACTGGCTGTAGGACAGATTTTAGTGCTTTCAATAGAAAGGTACACATTATTTTGAACAGTGGTGTAAATGTCACATTTTCGTATTGTCTGTTTTTAACTTTTTAAATCTCATATGTCTTCTTTAAATCTGTGTCAGCACCACTGCAGGAATTGTGGGGATATTTTCTGTGACAAGTGCACGCAAGGTAGAGTTGCCCTCACTGCTGATGAAGATGCTCTGCCAGTTCGAGTTTGTGACCGATGCATGGTATGCCCATTTAAAATAAAGGTTAATTACAGGTTTATGGTTTTCTTTATTAAGATGTTAAATGTGACTTTATTTTCATTTAATGAGATGTTAAATGTGACTTTAATTGTTAATCTGGGATGGTCTAAAGCAACACAAGTGCAAAGCTTAGTGTCGGGGAACATGTACAACTAGTTGTACAAATTAGCCACGAACTAGATCTGATAGTGTGATGTGATAGGAGAGCAAACTGAATGAAGAACCCTGAAACCTTGTGGACTAGGTGTAGGTGACAATGATTTGGGAAAAGGGGGACATAAGGAAAACAAGGAATTCAATGGAGCTCATTTCTTATGTTTTGGGGGATAAAGAAAGATGAAGTGGTTTAATGCCATGGGCAGCTGCAAAGAGCGTTTCCACTTCAAAAGCTGCTAAAGGTTTTGATCACTACAAATTCTGCAAAAATCTCGACTAAATATAGAAAAGAATGGATTCCAATATTTATCAAAAAGAAAATTGGAGATCTAATGCTTCAATTACATAGTTCAGCGAATTAAAGAAATGGAGCAAGATAGAGGCACTGCGAGTGTTCCATCTATTTAGAAACGTCAGAGAACTTAGTTTGTGATTATTCTGAACAGAAAGCTGCTGTTGCTTATTAAAGATACTACCACCTGGGAACTTTCATTGCTTGCATACGATCACATGTTACCCTAGGACTATTAATTATTTGCTTTTTCGTTATTGTATCTTCTATCATCTGACTAAAGAATAAGACAATTCCTTAACGAGGGCGTTAAACCTTTCAACAATCTAATGAAGTTCTGGATCTTAATATCTGATGGTTACTGTATTCGAGAGATTTTCCAGTCTTTCATGACAGTGCCTTTCAATGTTTTACGTTCTTTTATCTGTTATTTTGTTCAACATGACAGTGCCTTTCAATTTGTTGATCTTTTATATCACAATAGTCTTGAAGCAGTACTTTCACAAGATGTAACAAGATTGAACTTTCCCTATTTTGCAGGCAGAGGTAACTCAGAGACTCAGCAATTCAAAGGAAGCAATGACGAAAGTTGCTCCGTTACGAAGTCATGAGGACCTTACAAGAAAACTCAAGGTGACTGCTGACTTCTGAGATTCTTTAAATTACTCATCATTACTGTTCAAAATTGTTTTGTTTAGATAGGTTATTGGAAGTGTATCTTGAAAATTAATACTGCTTAGCTTATGTCCACAATTATGGAAGTTATATTACTTTTAAGAATTTTGAGATGAACTGTTGGATAAGTGAATTGGAGAGAAGATATAAGAAACAGAAAATAATAATCTTTGCTACTTTAAATTTGTGATGTGCTTTATAAAGCTTCTCGTTAAGGTTGGCACAATTTATTTCAATGATTATGAAGTATCTTTGCTGTAATGTTTCATTTTCATTCTATTCTTGGACAATGTTTCCCTGAATTTTAACTTTTCATCTTCGTCAGCATATACTAATTTCTACTGTTGAAATTCATAAACAGGAGGAGATGTACAAGAAGCGCAAGATTTCAGCAGGTAGTACCCATCGTTGAAACAGTTTCTTATTTAATTCGCTTCAAAATACACATACGTTTATGATTGCCATCTGGAATTGGCATGCAAACCTTTCTATGGTTACTGCAAGTTGGAGAATTTTTTCCCTTGGAGCTGATGAATCTATCATTTTCAGGACTTAGTTCTCAAGGATCTAGGAGGATGAGAGAGGTGGAATGTCCAACCTGCACAGTCCATTTGCAGGTTCAGTACCATAGACCATGCTTTTCTCCCTCTCTTCTTATGTTTGTGCCTGTTCTTGAAAACCTTTTCGATACTGTTAAACCCCAAGAATATCCTGTACCTGTGGATAAATTTTATATGGATTTGAGTTTGCAGGTTGAAGTGCCAGCTTCTGGATCAGAAACGATAGAGTGCAGCGTCTGCCAGCATCCATTCCTTGTTAATGCTCATTGATCTGCAGAGTTTCCTTTTGTAATATTCCTGTACTAAAAGCCATTTTGATTGTCCTTTAACTTTATACCCACAGTTCTCAAAGAGTATCACGCTCTTTACTGTGTAATATTTGTATTATACTCTTTTTCCCTAATGTATATTACAAAAAGGGTTACAGTTATATCATCTGTATTGCACTTGACTTGATTTGGGAAGTAACCTTAGATAATGGTTTGTTGATAGATGCGCAAGGGGCATAAATTAAATTACTGAGTTAATTGTACAATTCATATTTGTTCCTTGTAATCTTATCAACTCTCTATACTTGGATCGATCATTGGTAGCCTTTATGAGTAGCATGGACAGCATGAAGTTCAGATAGATCAAAACTCTAAACCCAATTGACTTGCCGGAAGAGCAACACCTAAGCCAAGATCTCCAACCAGAAAAGAGAAAAATAATCAGGAATTAATGAACAATAAGATCCAATTTTAGAGGGGTCTATTAAAGAATTTAACTCCTAATTTGGATCGTATACAATGAGAAGTTTCGGTGGTTTCTTATTTTCCTAACAAAATTTGACTCAATCACTGCTATATATCTCAAGAAAATGCCTACCTGGTGAGAGTAGAGTTGGAGATGTATTTAAGATCACTTTAATTTTATATCCCCTTAGACATTCTAAAATGACATGGAAATAAATTAGGGCTTCTTTCATTTTTGGCTGGCGGCTCAAAATAATTACAGGCGGTAGCGCAAAAAAAATAAAATTGTTATGTATATGAAATATATATTATTATGTGTATATTTATGATAAGTGAAGTGTTCACTTTCAGCCTGAGCATTTGCCATCACGAATCATCTTGATTACTGCTTTATCATATTTGGATTCGTTACTTCATCTTCTTTTAGTGGAGGTTTTAAAAAAAAAAAAAGTGTTAGCGGAGGTTTTCAAATAGATAGCTTCGACAAGTGAGGCTTGCTCAGTTGGTAAAAGCACCTCCACCTACGACCGTTAGGTCTTGGGTTCGAGTCACTATGGAGGGGAAGTGTGAAAACACTATAGATCCTCCTAATTTGGGAGCAGTGAATGATTTAACTATCATTAACAGAAGAAATTGAGTACTCTATTTATTAGGTTTTGCAAAATTGATTTTCCGCAAAGCATATATTAATAGTGTTTGTAATTACTTCTTCACAAGTATTCTTTTTAACTAACATTAATGCTTACTAAATTGTGCTTAATCAAAACAAAAAAATAATTCTTGAATTTGAAATGGAAGAAGGATGAAAGATAAAATCAGAAAAAAATAAAATAAAGAAAATTCGTCCACTTGATCAGCAATAAACCCAAAAAAGAGAAAAGATTTTTGTGTATGAACCTATGAAAACAAAAAAGAAAGGAAGGAGGTAGCAGAGAAAGGAAAAAGAGGATCTATTTTCCAGATAGGGGGTTATGAAAGTTGTATCGAGGAAGATGACTATAAAAAAAGATTTCTTTTAGAAGACATGATTTAAAAATTTAAAAGTGAAAAAGCTGAATTTTTACTTTAATTCAAAATGAAAGGGTATTGGCTCTCTTTTTATATTTAGACGTGTTTTATGTTGGGGTGTTTGGATCAAGTTTCGGGTTTAAATTAACCGAACCTGGTAATAGAAAAAAGGCGGGTTATTTGAATTTGATGAAGCCATGTGACAGTCCTTTAACGGCAGGGTTCCGAATAGCCAAATAGTATAACCAATAATTTTAAACTATTTTTGAAAGTACAAAGATATGTTTAACCTTTTTCCATTCGGTAATATGGGTTAAATTCATTTAAACCCAATCCAAACTACACCGAAACAAATTAAAAGGAGATAATCAGATTTGACTTTCAGTATCAATCTCTACAACAACAACAACAACAAATCCAGTTTGATTCAAGCAGGTGGAGTCTGGGGAGGGTAGTCTGTACGCAGACCTTACCCCTACCTAATACAGGTAGAGATGTTATTTCCAATAGACCCTCGGCTCAGGAAGGGCAAGAAGAAGAGAAGTAAAGCAAGGAAAGAAGAAAGATGGAAGATAAAAGAAAAAGGGAAAGATAAAGGATAAATGATATCAAATAATAACAACAGGGAATACAATACATGAGGCGAACAAAATCACATACCGTAATAAATATCTAAGAATATGAAGGGACATGCATGCTACTTAGACTATGGGTGAACAACTATAAACTACCTACTAACCTTCTACCTTAATCCTCGACCTCCACACCCTCCTATCAAGGGTCATGTCCTCAGTGAGTTGAAGCAGTGTCATGTCCTGCCTAATCACCTCTCTCCAATACTTCTTAGGCCTACCTCGACCTCTTCTCAAACTCTTCATGGCCAACCTCTCACACCTCCTAACAGGTGCATCAATGTTTCTTCTCTTAACATGTTTGAACCATCTCAGCCTCGACTCCCGCATCTTGTCCTTCATGGAGGCTACTCCCACTCTGTCCCGGGTAGCTTCATTCTTAATCATATCTCTCCTGGTACACCCACACATCATCTCAACATCCTTATCTCTGCTACTCTCATCTTCTGCACGTGAGAGTTCTTGATTGGCCAATACCCAGCCCCATACAGCATAGCCGGTCGAACCATCACTCGATAAAACTTACCCTTAACTCTTAGCGGCACATTCCTATCACACAAAACACCAGAAGCGAGCCTCCACTTCATCCATCCTGCTCCAATGCGATGCGCGACATCTTCGTCAATCTCCTCGTTACCCTAGATAATCGACCTGAGATACTTAAAACTCGCTCTCTTGGGGATAACTTGAGCATCAAGTGTAACCTTTATGTCTGCATCATGGGTCCCGTTACTGAACTTGCACTCCAAGTATTCTATCTTGGTTCTGCTCAGTTTGAAATCTTTAGACTCCAAGGTCTGTCTCCAAACCTCCAACCTCGCGTTAACTCCGCTACCGTCTCGTCAATCAACACTATATCATTAACAAATATCATGTACCAAGGCACCTCCCCTTGGATGCATCAATATCTACACTACACGTCAAACCAAGAATATTGTTATCCTATAATGGAGCAGAATTTTCCTTTTACTTAAATTTGGATGAACTAATATCATCTTATATAGTACACGCATCCGAATAACCCAATATAGGGATTTACATATCAAAAAAGGAAGAAATTAACTCCTAGCATATGTTGTTAAAGTTTAAAAGTACTAATGTTTACCCGTAAAATAGTATAATTGAATTTTGTAACGTGGTTTATAGACACGTGAATTAAATTGATGTGAAAAATAAAATAGTAAAGAGCAACAACAAGTAAAATAAGAGTAATTAAAAAAAACAAGCCTGAGTTTCAAAATATTCCCACCAGAATAAAAAATAATTAGAAAATCTCGAGAATACTTATATAAAGCTTAAAAGAACGAAAGAAAGAATGCTAGTCTTTTCCTATTAGGATTTCTTGATATCAAAGCCTATATTTATACTAGAGGTAGGGATACATGATTACAAAGTATATCCTCTTAATTAACAATATTATTGCTATAATAAAAGGTAATTAAAAAGTGATTAAAAAATAATAAAGGGTAACAAAGACTGATAAAGGCTGGAGGAATATTGTGGTCTTCTGTAACGTTTCTAACGGTTATATATTGAATTACCTCTTATTCGGCCACAAGTTTGTATCTTATGTCATCATATATAGTTGAGTCACTTCTGACCGGTCATCCTTGAGACATGTCACTTCCTAATTTACCTAACTCTTGAGATTGAGACCGATTTTACCGTATACAACTAATCGCAAAACTAAACTTCAATTCCAGAAAATAAAGTTTCTTTATTTCAATATGTTGCAAAAATATCAGCAGCAAAATCCCAACCAACATGAAATGAGTGATGAGCTAACCCTAAAAGGAAAAAGGAAAAAAATACCTCGAGATAGCCAGCCTTTCCAACATGATATGAATTATCTTTTCCAATGCGTTTCATTTCCTATGTATTGTAATAAATAAGTAGAAAAGGACAGATTTGATCCCAGTGGAAAGAGTAGATCCGCAAAAACTTCATATGGCGGATATCATTAATTATGCATATTACATCAACCATGAAAAATGCGTAAACCAAAAAATGGAACATAATTTTGAACTGAATAGAAGGACAAAGCCAATACTGATGATGTTGTAACAGAAAATTATTAGTAGAATTTATCAGATCATCAAACAGGATCAAAAGAAAAGGCAAGACATATTTATGTTTAATTAATGGTGAAGTACCCCGTCATTGTCTTACATTTGCACCAAAAGTTAAATTTAAAAATAGCCTAATGATGTTAATGCCAATATTCAGTCCATTTGATATTCACTTCCCGAGTATCTTGGCCAGAAAGCGAGCCTTTCTAGGGCAATTGATGTAGACGACGAACAACAGAAGCAAAGTTGGACTTTGTGCTTCTTCACCGTCTACTTCATTTTTTGTCAATATTTTGCTTGATTAGGAGAGGTATCATGTCTAACACTTATTAGCCCTCTTTTATATAAATATACAGATTGGTGAATAGATTATAGACATGCATATTCGGCCATTCCTTTATAGAGTAGTATGGAAATCTTAAGTTAGAATGTTTGACTGAATTTATTAGTTTTGGTTCATATTTTATATTTATTTATTTTAAAAAATTTATTGACTATATACAAAGATTTAATTTAAAATCTAATAACTTAAAAAAGATTAAAATTCGTGTCCGTTGTTTCTTCTTCTCTGCCGTTATTAACTTGTGCGATAACAAGTGTGAGTGAAGAAAAAAAGATGGACCAAAAAAGGGGTGGCACCTCTTCACAACGTTACATGAGTACATGCAAAAGTAATTTTAAAAAGTTTAACCTTTTTAGCACCTTTATTTTCTTCATTTCGAGTGTTGGAGAACCCCCACTGCCTTCATTCTGATAAAACCTACAGTTGCTGTAGGTAGATCAGACAATATGTTACATCGTTATAAAGTTGTCTCCATCCAAGAGCTCACCATTAAAGGGATATAAAAGAAGATTATCTTAATCAATCTCTTATTTTGTCTTGTACACTAGTCACACCTTTTGTCAACTATGGTCATTTGATTGATGAAAATAAAAATTATGAAATGTAAGAATGATTCCTTGGCCATAGTAATATAAAATATGCCAGCTTCCTAATTGCTGAAAACTTATGCAGATCACTGTTCTGCCCATAGTAAAAGTGAAAAATAG